GGCTGAGCTAGATTGCAAATATCACAGTGTCTGCTATTATGGGCACGTTCGTCATCGTCATGATCTCGTTCAGTAAACTATTCTGAGTTAATAGAAAGTATTTTTTCCTCGTCAGTACTTAACATTGCATCCAAATCTACGTTATCTTGATGGTTAGTGAGTGTGGTCTGTTGGATCAAGGGTATTGTCACGTCTGTACAACTCGAGGCGTCGATCGAAAACTCGGTAGCTGCAGATAAGGTCAACGGCAATGTAGGTATTCTACCGTCAAGCACCCGATGCGCGAAGTTATAGACAACGCTACTTTGTTCATCGGACATACGCCTTACTAAGCTGTGTAACGATTTTTTGACGTTTGTCCTGCTTGGACAGGGAAATAATTGTCTATCGCAATGCTGATGATGTAGTTGCTCGAATGCAACCATCTGTCGCTAATTAATTCGGTGTTTACTTCAACATTACTGTATGTACAGTAGGCCAAAATGTGACAACATGGGATTCCGTTTTCAATGTAAAAAGCACACCAACAATTGATGGGATTTCGGGAGACTGTGTAGGTGCCTGTGGCATCAACAGCCCTTAACAAGTCCTCTGACATTACAACCGCAATCATATGAGTACGCAAGTGCCGTTTCAGTAGTCGCCATGCAGCTTGTTTAAGTCTTTCCTCGAGATGACGTAATTGTGGCTCCTGACCGATAACTATTCTGCTACGGCAATCAGACGAGTATTTCTATCCAATATCCAGTCCGAAGCAGCACACTGAATACAGACCTAAACACGGGTGCTTTTTTGTTCAGCTTATGCAGCTTCAGAATTCGATGTCTCAACAAAATTCGTATTACTTCGTTCTAAAAACATAGCTGCCGGTCGAAAAGCATTTGACTATTTGTGTTTTTCAGACAATAAGTGATCTCTCACATATCGGTGAAAATTCCAGTTTGCTGCTTCGATTAATGACAGATAGTTTTGGAAGCTACAAAAGACTGTAATACATGTTTTATTTACCTTTCCACATTTCTTTCATAAGTTCTAATGGCGCTCTTTAACGCTTCAAGTGATGGGATTGCTTTTGTGACAACGTGGGGAGAGGAACAACAGTGCTTGTACTTTACACGTTACTACCGTCCATACCGTAAAGAAAATTTGCTCTGTCGACAAGTAATGACATTTTATACCAACTTTAAGAAATAAATAAATTCTGGATTCGTTGAATATTCGTTAGCTATGAAATATCATTTCAGATTTACTGGACATTTTTTGTTTGTCTTTCCATAATGGTAATTATTTTGTCTTCTGCTTCTATATATAGGCAAATGTTTCTTTCTGCTTAATTTAATGCACATAATGCGATTGTAATTGAATGTTCATTTATTCGGTATTTTTTATTGTTGTTCGGTTTTGAGGACTGTGTTTTGATGTTAATTTCATAATAAGTTACCACTCAGCCACAATCATCAGGCGATCACCACTTTATTTGTTATTTTGGCGGTCAACTCTTACAAATAACAACAAAATCCCCCCTACGATAACAATTTTTTCACTAAGCAGTGACTTTTATAAGTAAGAAAAAAAAGAAAAATTGAATTTACTATGGTTATCTTTTCTGATGAAGCTACGAATAATTGGTCAAGTATTATTCTGAAATCCATTAGGGAAATCTAATTCAGGCTATTTTAACCGTCATTTTCTAAGAGTCAATAACCAAATTATCCACATAAATATTGCTCTTTATTCAGTTATATTAACAGAATGTTGGATACCTAATTACTAGTCATGTTTAGAGGGACTCTACCAAAGGAATTTGTAACGATGACAACCAGCAGACGTACTGATTTGAGTCGTCAATTGATTTTTCCAGACATGTATTGGTAATGACTGTCCCTGTGTGTTAATAATTATTCTGTCATGTAAATTTTGTAAGTCAGTCCTATCACTTTATGTTGATGGAAACATTCACAAATTCATCGCTAATCGTACTCATTCCATCCCAATTATCATTGCAAAGAATTATTCAGATAGCATACTATTTTTACAACAGTTATGGTATAGTATCAAATTAAATTATCCAATTATACCACTAAATGGAAAATTATTTGAGGACAGCCTGTACGGAGTAACTGGTTTCACTAATTATCTTAAAGTTATATACATGGAATAGTTGCTTTATTAGTTTTGATAAGCTTAATTCTTACTAGTTATGTTGGTAATTTCAAGCTTTTTTCGCTGTTTGACTTTATGAACTGAAGTTGTTCTGATGTGGTGGAGTCTAGTGCAAGCAATGGGAACAATTTTTCAATCCTTTGAGTGATCTGATCCACTTTGCCAAGCCCAGTAATTGTCATGATTGTTTTGCAGTTAATTTTGTTATTCACAGTGATATTTTTTACTTGTTCACTTTCTTATTAGATAAGATAATAATAGGATCAGTAGTTATTTTCATTACCTGTTGATATTTATGTTTGATCTATCCAACTTGTGGATATTGATCGGATTTTACCACTCTGGATCTCTTTTTAGAGTGTGCGATATATTGTTTAACACGTAACTCCGTAACACATGACGTCCATACTTCTATATGAACAAACATTCTTTTTAATTTTCACTCTATGCTCTCGCGTGCGCGCGTTTGTGATTAGGAGTGTAGCGAGTTAGTCATACAGTTTTCTATGGAATCAATTTTTGCTGACCTGTGTCTTAGATACATCATAGCTTATATGTATTGTGTTAATATTGTATTGTATTTTTGTTCGTTAAATCTTTACCTTTAATAATTGGCTTAAATACTCTTGTTGTACTGTCGGAGCTTACCTGTTCCTAAAGTTCATTTCGGGTGCTATGAAGTTGTTGAGCAAGCACTGTGTCACTATTCGTTGCATATGATGCGAAGCATTTGATGAAAATTTTCATTGATAACAACGTAAATGGTTGGGATATTTTACATCTTCGTAACAGCTATTTATGTGAGTAAAGGGCTGGAATTCGACTACAAGCTGTGTGAAAGGCATTATAAAATAGCGTCACATAAATATAAAGTTGTTGGTAACTTTAAGCAAGTTTAAAGTAATTGATTATTAAAAATTCTTGACCTTAAACAAATTCCAGATTCTTGGTAAATTAAAGTTTTAGTAATCTATTGTTCACCAGAAATTATGTTTTCCTATTTTTATGCCTTGATTTCGTAGTTATTCTAATTTGCTTTTCGTAACTTAAAAGCTTAGTATGTACTGGTCTGATGACGTACTATTTCAACCTCTTAAAACTATACATCACTAGTTAGATGACTTAACTTTTTATTACTAGTTCATAAACAGCCAAATAGCGTTTCAGGTCATTACACGATATATTCCTCCTGTCACGCAGAGAACGGATTAGAGGTGAACATCTGGATTTATTTTGGCCCATCAGGGTATTTACTAAATGCTACATCATTTTCGTGTATTTTGTCTGTTACAGTGTCACTTACTCTCACTGATATGTGTATTATTTGTTGTGTAAATATTATTTCATCTTCTAATCTTATATTTTTTGTTGGCTTACTTCAATTTGGTGTTGTATATATATATATATATATATATATATATATATATATATATATATATATATATAAACTGCAGAATCTATGTACGCAACTTTACATTTCCTTGTGTTTATTTCTGTTACGGTTTAACTGTTTTAAGTTTTACATTTATGGTTGTTATTTTTTTTAAATAATCACTTATCAGAAGGGGGGTTTGTGGAGATTTTAGTTATAATCATTTAGTTAGAAAGTATTCAGTTTTTCTTGTGTTGTTCGTTAGTGATTAACACATGAATATATCACTTAGGTAGAAATACACGTGTCTCACTACTATCTGTTTCTGAAAGCTGGAATGTTCCCAAGATTTACTTTAAAACTCTGTTGATTATGTGCATCTACTTTCGAAACCACAGTCAACAACTTATATTTGGACTGAGAACTTTCGATTTATTTGAACTTGTTTATGCCGTATCACTACTAGGCTGGGAACTTCAACTATATCTACGCTTAGTGGTGCTACCTGTTCACTCCTACACTCCAATGATCTGTACAGCGTTGATCCACACTTAAAGCTTTTAAGTGTCAAAAAATAGTAGTCCAACTACCCAACCAAACGTAAAACTGAACAAACCAATTCATTCTTCTGGATTCAGAAGAAATCTTGTCACAGAGTTGCATAAAGGATATCTTAAACCAACTGGATTCTACCTACCAATCCACACTCCACTCCACTGCATCCCCGGCCTCCTGGTGAGCTAATTTAAGATCTCTGTTCATAGTAGCTACATTTAGGAGATGGTGATAACTACTTAACGGAGATTAGACTGTGACATGTATGGTCTCTACCCATCCTTCTGCCACCCACTAGTCTTAAGTCGACTATGACGGAAAACCACCTTAGTCTAGTTATTGATTGATAAGTGAAATAATAAATCCGAGCATTTCATGTTGACTCCTTGCATTAAAAAATACATACAAGTGGACTTTTCTAGTATCCTTTCAAAAAATTATCTGGATATTAAATTCCTACATATGCGTGGTGTCTGCTACTTATGTTGACAGGTATAAGTAGTCTGTAACACAATCAGAAGTGAAATGCCTGACAACAGAAGATTGAATCAAGGAGAACAGGAAGACAAACCGACAACAATTGTAATAACAAGAGAATGGAAAGAATCATGAAGCATGTAACGGACAACTGAAGGATGATGTGCAAATAATGTATTCATTGTATGGTTTTCATATTTTATGATGACATTCTAATTTTGTTTGTAAATAATAAGTCAGTTATCCCTATCAGGTCTTCGTTCACTACATATATCCCTACGATTAATAATTTGAATTATATATATTGAATCGTATGTTACCTTTTATCACTTATTTAATATGATTTTTATCATAATGTTTTTATCTTGATATATTTCTTAAAATATTGGTTTTATTCCAACCAACTTGTTTATTTTTTTCCTTTTTGTGGCAGCAAATATTGGAATTTGGATCTAGTCAGCTTTCTACTGCCTCAATTGGTAGGGTTAATTCACAGTAAATATACCACGTAAGTTACATATGATTGTTATACATTAATACATAGATATATTTGTCCAAGTATCTTTATTTATTTATTTAAACACATAAATATTGGTACATAGGGGCACCAGATAGATATGCGCCGCACAAATCTCATTTGATTTGTGTAAGGGTTGTGATACTGACCAGGTGCCCAAGACGAAGCAGATGGCTTTCTTAAGGGATCATACCCGGGGCCTTTGACCGAAAGTCTGATCCACAAGGCAGTGGAGCATCGTAAGGAGATGCAGTCCCATGGTAGCCGGTGTCCAACGATTGATTCATACGCCATTTGATCCCTCAGGATACTGGAGCCCATGTGCAACATTGGTTTGGAATCAGAGTATTCCAACTCCCCTAGGTGGAATTTCCGTGTCCACCAACCCGGTTAAAGCGCCGGACATTCGCTTTTCGTCCTCTCAATTTCGTAAACAGCAGTAATGCCATGACAAGGCAGTGAGTAGGACTTCCCTGACAGAGGCTGTATACGCGTGGCCATATGAGAGCATTTGGAGAGGGAGAGCGGACTCTCTCTACTTTCGGCCGTAACAGGACTTTTGGGGGTGTACGCAAAAGTGCGAGTGAAAAGAGGCTCATATTAGTGATGACAATGATCTGGAGGACAATTTAATAATACAATAAACTAGTGACACTAGTGTATTAGCTGATTAATTATAATAAATGAAGATTTAGTATCCAAAAGGCAGTTTATCAGTGTAGTACGGATGTGAATGTTACTTACATTTTTAAATTTTTAGAACACAGTTTGCAAACTTGAGACGTCAACGAGAAGTCTATATTCGCTGTGTGACAGTCCTCCTTGTTCTGTTTTATGACGGTGAAACATGGTTTACAAAAGTAGAAGGCATACGTAGGCTGCAGGTTTTTGATCATAGGTGCCTTCGAACCATCGCTCGTATGTACTGAGGTCGTCGAGTTAACAATACTGTGATTATATACACGGTACTAGGAAAGGATGGCAAACTGGTTGATTATATAATGAATGTTTATCAACTAAGGTGGTTGGGGACATGTATGCTTACCCACCGCCTACCTCTACGCGGAAGGATGGTTGACGTAAGAGTAGACTGGAAAAAAACCGAGGGTGGCCTGACCAATATGTAACATCAGTCTATAAAGACATTGGCTGTTGGACTGAGCCACACGGGTTGGATCAGACTACTTGGTTGAGGTACGCTTGACTAAGGGGTTGGAGACTTTGGGTAGCATAGTTCTGATCCAAATAACCCAAGTGGATTCACCTTTATCTTCTGGTTTATCAATCTCCCATTTTTCCTTCATACACACTTCTCTATGTCTGTCTGTCCATATCTAGATATGAAAATTAGATTTGTGGGCTATCAACTCTATTGAAATCTTTGCTACATCATGATCCTCATATTCATCATTAATCACACTTTTATGTATAAGTGTGTCAATATCTGTAATAACGTTGGTTTTAAAATACTGGTTGTAAGCAGCTGTGAGAGCCTAACGAAATAGAATGAATTCGTATTATTCTGCACCAGTTTTCGTCGTTGCTTTATTTCACGTAAATTTTTAAGTACCGATTTCTTTCCTTAATCGCCTAAGGCATTTTTGGGCGTGCTCCTAACACCTTGTACTCCCTTTTAAATGCTGTTGTTAGACCCTTGTAACGTACTTCTCTATTTCCAATTCACTCAAATGCATCCTGTTGTAGAGCATAAATGAATTTACATATATTCGGATTACCGGAATCAATAAATTGGCTAAGGCCTGTATGCTACCCTTCTGCCTCATTGCTAGCCTTGTAAAAATCTATAGTAAGATTTTAAACGGCCTTGCTTCTTGTAGATCTTTGATCCAGATGTCTTCAAGAGGATTTGTTAATACTATGGTTTCTCCTTCATTCTCTACGTAGAATGGTAACCCCATTAAAACTCCTAAACCCAGTTAACACATCTGAGACCGATACAACTTTGATTCTACTAACCGCCGAATCTACAAAGCAAAATTTTAATCTGTTGTATAACTTGGTGTTTGATGTTGTCTTCGTCATATTATCTGACCTGAATGGAACAAGCAACCTTATATCCCATTTTGACGTGCTCGTCAAAACTCTGATAAAGGTGAATCTTCATAATCAGGTGTGATAGTTAATGAATATTCCATCGGTATATGATTGAGGATTGAAGTAGGACCCATACTCCATCGTAAGATGTTCTATACTTTTCGAAATCTATTTGTTGCTAATCATTTTCTCTTTTCTGAAGATGTAGCCATTGACAACCAAAAAATCAGTTCTCTTGTTAATTTTTATGTGTTTTAGTTCCATTCCTATAAGGTATCAATAATATATAACTCGGGATGTAGTTCGTAGTCCTTAAATGCTGTTAGCGGGAAATAAACCAGTTTAAGGTATTTTATGTGCATGTTCGTGATGGTGCGCGCTGATTGGCTAATTCTAAACCAATCAGCCCTGGCAAACTATTGGAGAAAAATCTAGCTTCTTATGTATATACTATAAATATATGAACGTTATTCAAACCAGTGATTGCCGCTCACCTACCCTTGTTATTTTGAATACAATTTCGTTCCTGTTCAACGTGTTCTGATTTTGGGGTCTTGTCGACTGTCATTGTATAAGAATACTAAGCATTATGAATAGCTGGGTTGTTTATTAGCAAAATACAATTAAAACAAATGCATTCTGTATTATTTCGAACTCTAGTCTAACAATTCATTTTATGAACAAACACACCTTCACTACAATTAACTGGTCGTAATTTAGTTTCATATCTTTACATTTTTTGTCACTGTGCTCAATTCAAAAATAAACCATTCCAAAAGAATTTTTCTGATTATTTTTCATTCACTTGCCTGTATTAATGTTCAATCCTTTAAGACTCGCTGCTATATTAGATTGGTTAACATAATATTAGTGACATCATTTTATTGTATTATTAAATCGCCCTTTTTGCGCGCACTCTAATTGGAGTAAACTAGACAGTACTTAACATTTTATTAAAAGTAACAGTCTTTTCTTTTCTTCATCATTACTGATCACGAAGAAAAATAAAGCATGTAATTGAAACTTGTTCATTACTGTATACATCTAAATTAGCAGATATAATTGTGTTGGTTGTTTGAGAATAATCAACAAAATTTATAAATGCCTCTGAACATGGAAACGTTTCCTCTTTTTGAAATACTTGCCTATCTCATTTACCTTTTACTCAGTCATATCATATCTGCTGTGGTTTAGTAATTAAGACGTTAAGTTTTCGGCTGCTAAGTCACACGTTCAAACCTCACTTCATATACTTAGGTTTGGGCGACTGGCTATTATCATTATCACTCACACCTGGAGTGTACCTCATACTCAAGTACCTAGTGAATAAACTAGTTTTAAATTCTTAAACCCTTCGATTTACAAAATACGTAAGGCAACTATATTTTAGTTGAAATTAGTTTGAGAATATAAAGCTTGGTTAGTCTGTACTTCAGTTTGTAAAAAATTATGAATTTGGTAGTATGACTATTCGATATAATACAGTTTTATTGGGCTTCTGCTCTTTTTGGCCATTGTGGTAATGATCACCTTTCAATCCTTTTTTAAAAAAAAGACAACATAATTTTCCATTTTTCACTACTTGAATCACGTACAATTTGTTGTTCTATTCATTGTAATACTAGAAACTTATGATTTATTGTAGCTGCACATTAAATAACTTCATGTTGTAGACCAACAACTGGCAGTTTATCATTTTTATCGTTTGTTAAATGTTGTCAAAGCATTTCATCTATAATTGTGCAGTTAATTAGTATAGTTCTAAATATTTGTAGCAGAACAAACACATTAAGTATTTATTTGAATATATATCTAATATTTGGCTATACATCCTTTCCATCCAACTAACAGATTGAATGTATGTTCAGTTACCTGGGTTGAGTCAAGTCAAATTCAGCGATGGTTAGCTTCATTTCGAATAAATTAGATGGTAATCTGTTGTCAAAATAACCCCAATCTATATGTTCTTTGTCCACCACTTCTGTCAACGAATAAAAGAGTGCTTCAAGCATTTGTGAATACACCTTGTCAAGCCACAGTGTTTTTAAGTGTAGGCTGATGTATCTGAGATAATTTGTTCATCAGTTATCACAACTATTATTCAAATATGTTTAATGATGACTGTTGATCAACTATATGTTGTGACCATTTGATAAAATGAGGTTTTAGCTTTTATTGCTTAATCAAACCTTGTCTTATTGCTATCCTTTGTTTATACCTTTTATTCCCAAACGTCCACTTGGTTAAACTAGCACTTTACATTTTCATGTATGATTTTAACCTTATTTTTACTTACTTTTGGGTTTTAGTCATGTTGAAACAACTTGTCAAATAGTTCGTGTAATAATCAAAAATTTCGCCCCGGTAATTCGCCAAACTATCGAAGGCCCAGCTCCACCTGGAGTAGACTTGATGCGAGAAGAAAGGTTGTGCATTTTTGGGTTTTAACGGTTATTTCAATTCATGTCATATGTATTATAATGTGTATAGCGTTTTATTACCTGTTTCGTCGGTAATTAAAAGGAATTTATACTCAATTATGTTTGGAACTTACACTTTCAAATGCTATATATTATCTAGAAATTATAGTATATTTCATTTGTATGTATATTTATGTTGTAGCTATTTCATATCAAGCCATAAAAGTCGGGTTCACACACTATTGGACGTTTCGGAATCATGATTAAACAAACCTCTTAGTTCCTCACAGCCTACTTCTTTCCCAATATTTAACTTTTGACTCGTTCAGTCACACCTATACAACGAAACAGCATAAACGCAGTTATATTATTGCATGCTATTATCATTAAATCGCCCATTTGGAGGGAAAAATAACCATTTAAACATGACTACAATTTATGGATGAACCAATCAGATTTAGGTTAACGTGTTTCGAATTTCGGTGCGAAATTCATTCACCCATTTGTTTAAATAGCATTTTGGCATTCTAGCTGATATCAGTTAGTGATGAAAACCACAAATTTAATTCCCAACACCAAACACTAATTGTAAATCCTAATCCTTACTGTTCACATTGCTTTATAACCCTGATTTAACCCTGGTAAGTAGGTGGACGTCCTCAAGGTCACTTTAGCGTCGCTCCAAAAGTTCAGGGAAGCTGATTGTTCTTTTCCTCAACGAGAAGATGGTCCAATCAAACGATCCATTTTTAGAAAACCAACGTGGACAGGCCAATACCTTAGTTATTATAGTTATTGCTCTGTGCAATGCAAACGTGGTTTGACCAAGTGCCTATTTAACAGACGTGATCATATTCGCACAAATGACGCTGAGGATGATGTCAAGTTGTTAAATAAGACATTAATGGGAAATGGCTATCCACTTAAACACATAAATAGATAGAAAGTGCATAGTACAGTGAGACCCACTGTAGCCTTGGAGGAAAAGTGCCTGTCTACATCACCTTACCATTTCGAGGTGATTCAAATAACCTTTTATTGAAACAAAGGCCTAAATCAGTCATCAACTAAACGTATTGTGCAGTAAAGGTCATTACCAAAGAAAGAACGGGGTTCATGCTTCATCCCAAACCTAAAAGACACGAAAACGATTTTCACATCCCACTGTATTTACCAATTTAAATGTGTGTGCGGTCACACATCCATAGGGAGAAGCAATCGCGATCTGAAAATTAGGGTGTGAACATATACCAAGACGGTTGCAAAAACAAACAGAATCAAATGACCCAATAAGCTTAGAGGATAAACATCCATCATCCTCTATTGTCAAACATATAATCGAAACAGGTCATAAGATTGATCTTAACTCGGCTTTTGTGGTATTGCTTAAAAGTGTAGAAGGGCGTATACTAATGTTTATTGAAGCCTAAGACATACGAAAATTCAAACCCCGAGGTTGAGAAATCGTAGTGCATTGGTTGAAGTTATAAATTAACACAGTTGTATGCCGACTCAGTGGTCTAGAGGTTAAGCGAGACTGATAGGTCCTGGATTCGAATCTGGCGAGGCGGTATCGTGGACGCGCACTGCTGAGGAGTCCCACAGTAGGGCGAAACGGTCGTCCAGTGCTTCCAGGTTTTTTATAGTGGTCTAACTTCAATTGACTCATGATCTCAACTATAAAAATACTAAAATCTCCACAAAAAACCCCTCTTTTATTATTATTATCCTTGTCTCCTCTAACCCCCCCCCATTTCAAATCTAGTTGACCTTTTACTTTTATATATAAATGTTCTTAACAAGTATATGTGTGGTCAGATTGTGCGAAATGTATTGCGCTAATATATCACATAGTTCTGGTAATCTTTGTCTACTTATTACACTATCTAAATTCATTTCTTAACTAATATGTTGCAGATTCAAATTCCAATTCTCCTACTTCACTTTGCGTAGTCAGATAGCTCTCACATGACAGTACGGGTTTACAGCGACCACATAAACGTATACTTACCTAAGTAAGAGTATTCGGAATTAATTTCATTATAGAAACTTTATGAATCGGTATATTAATCACTCTTGTTTCTTAAATTTAATTGCTTTGAGCACAGAGTACTTATTGCTTAAAATCTCATTTCTTTTTCATATCTTCATACATGTGAAAATGTATACCAATTGACAACTAATTCTAGCTCAATCATTATGTCATCATCCATAACTTTCTAGTGTATAGTTTCTCATTAATCAAACAGTTTTACTAAATATCAGCACCACACTTGTTTCATTTAGGTTTTTGTTCACTGAGCAAATCAAGCGAATGTGTTCTACTGTAGTCCAACTATTTAATTTAGTTTTCTATGGCTTAGATTTATAATTTCAGCTGTAAAAATCATTGAACAGAAGTAGTTTTCATTAAAAAATTATGATTTCAGTTCACATGATACTAAACTTCTTGAGTTCACTTATCCAATGCTTTAACCTTTCATCTAATTTTGTAGACGTCGAAAATGTCAAGAATGCTTGTCCCATTTACTTACAATTCGTTCAGCGTTGGGTACTAAAGAGGTAGCGAGTAAAGCTGGTCAATGCGGTCGTGAATTAAATGTGATGTTTCAACTGCTAGTATGATATTTTATTCGAGGAATTTTTTCTTGTATATTTCTAACATTTTTTTCTGCTGGGATGAATTAACAAAAATGATTATAAACGCTTTAATCCGGTACTACTGCATTTCGAAGATGAGATTTATGCCACACACATTTCTTGTCTGTTACATATTTGATATTTTATCATTTAGTTTCTTTGTTTTATTTATCCTGTGAAGCCAATCCCAATGTTTGTATATATATATATATGGTAACGCTAAGCATCTTCTGAATGTCGTTAAAGGAAAGTTATACTATATTCCATTACAGCTTCTTATGCATAACTTGCCTTATCTGAGCAATATCAGAGATGTTTTTCAGCTTGGTTTATAGTCGTTTTTATTTCTTCCTGTTATATCTAGAACTTATATTTTTATTTCTATACTGCGTACAATTTGAGCACTCGAACGCTTGAACCCTCCAAGTCGCAAGTCAGAAGACTAGTGAAACTGAATCTTATTCTAAACAGTATCAAGTATGGTACAAGACACTCAGGTATTTATAGTTTTTAGTAAAAACAAACTCATCATTACAGTCTTCTAATCTGCGTGCAGTGGTTTTTAGCGTTTGTCGAATTTGGAGAGTACACGTCAAGATTCTGGGATGTCCTTTCACAAGATAATTGGGTGGAATGTCTTCAGCTATTTCAGAGCTTCCTTGAGTTCACCGGGGGCCATCCCTACTTCCCTTTTTGTCTTCATGTGTTTCATTCGCTAAAAGAACATAACCGGTAGTTAGGTAATAAACATCTTTGTGTCGTCAATACACAAAAATATCACATGCTTAAGTTAGTTGTGTATAGTGTAATTCATGATAAAGTAATACTACTTATAGTTTAGTCTTACTTACGTTCGCCGAGTATTGGTTCTCTTTTTTATTCCGTTTAAGTTGATATTACATTTCATCCACCACATTTCACAAAATCACTTACCTTTTACGGTCACAGTCTCAGTCCACTGTTAGTTCCATAGGAACTATAGATTACTGATTATTATGTGGTAGTGGTCTCTGCACCAGTGAATTGTCTGGTATCTCATACATTATCGTTCGAATCTCAGTTGTCGCAGGCTAAATTATTTTGGGGGGCAGCACCATTGTGAACATTACTTAGCGTTGTAGACTTCTATAGCTCATGTTCTTCCTAATCCCAAATATCGTTGTCATCGAAAAATCAACCAATCATTCCAAACAAATAACACTGGTCCAGTCAGTCACAACTTACCCGATGTTGTAGCGAAATAATGAACCAGAACGGACGACAAAATCAGTCCTTATTTCGTCACCAAGAAATGATCAATCGTCTACTTGAATAACTAGATCTCCACTTTTTTTTACTTTTAGAGTTACTAATTCGAAAACCGAAGAAATCCTTGTCTAATACTAAAAATAAGAACACTCACTAGGTGTGATTCTTATTGTTGATTTGTTCACTATCATTTTCAAGTTATAAAAGTCGTTTAATACTCCAATACTACACCTGAAATCGAATTTTGAAAAACTTTCTATCTGGGTTGTGGGGATTCAGAGCTACTTCGCGTAAACACATACACAAAACCAAAACATTAAAATCTTTTCACCTCTGATTTCCAGAGAATTGTGCTACAGTCCTGTCAAGTGTGATATTCATAGATTTATCTGTTCTCATTAAGCTTGCCGTTTTCTTACAACAAACTATAAATCGAGAAATTGAAACGAGCGAGTAACTTTTGTCCTTACTACATTGATGCATCAACAAAGATTCAGGCTATTCTTACTCGAACTGTGCTTTTAAAGTTGCTATACGTCATTGTTTACTAATTGATGACTGAAGTTCTTTTGAACTGATAATCCTCAGGATAATAATGTTATTATAATTTCTGTCATGAATTTTGTAAGTCGGATAACACTTGATATGAATACCAAAAACGGTCGATAGCTGGGGAAATAACGAACTCATTCCACTTACTACCGATACGTGCTTTGATCTCATCTTCTACCTACGTTTGTTAAAAAATGTGCCACTTGATTTGAAATATGTAAACATGTTTGGCAATAATTAAATACAAAAAAGTAACTGATTTATATGTTTATTTACTTCGATCTTAGTGATATGGGCATGTATGACAGCTTAATCCAGAAATTGTTCATTGAATAATTGTGTATAACAACTCAAAATACCATTAAACCTCCCAGCTGTTTTTGTGTAGTTAGTTATGGATTATCTTGAGATTGTTTCTCGCTAAGTAGTCATAAACCACCGTCATTAACCAATTGGTCCAACAAGTTTCGTAAATTGACTCCTTTAACACTGGTTTCATTTCAATTGCCGATATGAAGTTCTTCGACAAGCCGGTCCAATAGCACTGATAATTAACTAACTGCGATACGATAAAAAGAATAGGACAACTGTGATTATTTTCCTTCGATAAAGTTCTTATGTGTCGTGGAAGAAATGGCCAACAGTACCAGTGATAATAACTTCCAAATGATGTTGCAGATCCATGTTCTTGATATTCTACTGTCATCTGCAGGGATGCCTTTGATTTTTTTCTTCGTTTTGTAGTTCTAAGTTATATTTTGTTGGGATCTCGGAGTTTGTATAGACTACATGGAAGCAAAAATTGTTTATTAAGGTTTTTAAGTAATGGATAAATAATAACAAATCAATTAAACGTTCTGTGGTCACTTTGAATTGTTTAGTGCGTTATAGGTTGTTTTTTTTCAGATGAACTCGTCGGAATTGGCGATTTTTAGCTCATCTGCCTGTTTTCGTTTTCCTATAGTCCATCCAATTTGTCATGGAAACTGATGTGCTGATTATTAAAATACCAACTTTTCGGATGCTCATATGAACAAAATGCAGTAATCGGTCATGGCTTCAGTTTCCAGAGTACTTTTGTCTGACAAGCGATAGGCTCGGAAACTGTATTTTCTAAATTGCTACAATATAGAATCCCACATTTCATGAATGAATAAATTCACCAGTATGTGTACGCTAGACTGAAAGTCGGAAAACAATGTATAGCTTGGTTAATATAGAGTAACAATATGCATTGCTAAGAGATTTTTTCCTTTGCTGTATAGTATTCAGGGGTAAACTTGGGAATGTGCGATTACACCTAAACATAAAGACTGGTTGCTTGACAGTATTGAAGTTAGTCATTAATGCCAGATTACGACAATTAGAAGTATTCAAATTGATTTGTTAAAAATTCCCGAAATAGTTCAATTTAAGGCAGGTAGAGCTAGATGAGTTAATGTGGTTGTTCAGATTTCTGCAATAGACTCTGCATATGCGTAGGTCTGTAGTGTGTTTCCGGCTGTGTATTGAATATAGACTATGCAATATCTAGGATGTACTCATGAGTATAGAAGCTAACAAGAGAAATTTGATCAGATTCACCTCATTCCTGGTAATGTATTTGAACAACATGCCCATTGCGTATACGTAAATCATTGATGTCTGGGATTCAAATATTAGATTTTCTATATCACGATCTTCGTGGCTTATGGAAGATCATTTCCATAATAATATGTAACTTTTATAGACTCTAAATACGTCACACTCGAACGAAGGATTCTTCCTTCTAATCAAATTAAAGTTGCTTTCTTTACAGAATGTTTGACGTTTCTATATTGCTGAAGAAATGTATCTACTTCCCTCTCTACTTTATTTAACTTTGAATCAGCTTGTTATGTCGTGACAAAATGTATTGCCTGACTGTGGTGTTTGAATGAACCAATGATTCACTTGTATTGATGACTGCTTGACTTTGAATTCTAAATACAGTACGTTCGTTCGTGCTCATCTAATACTTCTTGATTAAAATAACTCATAATGTCATTAAATAAACAAAAGAGAATTCGGCGAAGAAAATTTTCTTTTCGACGAAATCATTTACTTAAGCTGTACATTCGTATATATAGTTATATGGAAAATATATGTCTGTATGAGGCTAGAAAAGATTGCATTATAATGATAGAATTAACTGATCTAAACTGGTTAGTGATCGCAGGAGACGTTGAGCACGGTGTTTCTACTGGTGATCCTGTGCGGACGTATGACGAGCACCTTTAGCTAGTTGAGTAAATTAAATCCAATGTCGAACACTTACAGAGCTATTGATTTTGTGGATTTATTTACCACTACAGACAACTTCCTCCCTAGTGGCGTAGTGATGACCCTACGACGTGGCCAACCAGAAGTGTAAAACCCAAGGAGTTTGTTGTTGATAAACACTCTTTTTGATAGCTTACTATGTTTAGCATCGTTCGGCCATCTTTCCTTACTATAAGGGGCCATGAAGTACAACATCGTAATAAGGGAATAAAGTGCAATGATAATTTCAGTTCTTCATAAACTTTATCGCTCTTCTTATCGTTTGCTTCATCCTTCCTAGAAAAGAAAAAATAATATGTAAGAGCATGTCGAAATACACTCGTACGCGCGTAACGACACAAAGCGGGCTGAAAAATGTAAATAAATTCCTACACATGCGATAGTGTAAAAGCCATTTTTAAGGTTCTTTGAGTGTTTTTTGGGAAAGAAATTAAATGTACATATACAAACCAAAAATTTATTTTGGGATTAATGTATAAGTATAAGTATATTAAACTTTTTATTATATATAATACTAAAGAAATTGTAGAGAAAGCGAAATAATAAATGATGTCTTACGTTCAATGATCGTCCTTCGTATGCTGATTCGAGGGGTCGTCGATGTGAGCCTCGACGTATGAAGACATGTGTACTTTATCGCAAGTCACTTTGATTGATTGCGGTCGAGTGTAGGCAGGTTTTACTGAACGCATTGCGTTTGTAAGCCTGCTACTGTTGGAGTTTGGATCTATGTTCGCTGAAGTAGATGAAGGATCCTCAAATTCTCCTGGAAGTCGAAGTGTCGTTCCATAAACGAGTTGAGATGCAGTGTATCCAATGTCAACTTTCACTGCATTGCGAATACCTAGTAGGATGAGTCAAAGAGCGTCGGTCCTTTGTGAAAC